CTATTTGTGGGGAGCATCACGTCGTGGGAAATGGGCCCAGCATCCCTTATGAAATGTCAAATTTGCAATCACAGCATTTTGGGAACATTTGCCGAGAGGGGGGAGAAGGGAATTAGACCCCCCTCGCACAAGGGGGGTCTGGTTCAAGGATGAGCTGAGTCGTAGCGTTGGATTGGTCTTCCTTTTTCTTTTTCTTTTTCTGTTTTTTAGTTTTTTACGCTTTCTGTTTTCTCGTAGTAGCACAATTTATGTGCCATCCTGGTAGGACCAAGAGCAGTGATGCACCCAACAGCTACTTAAGCAATGTGTAGTACTGTAGCAATCCTCTTTCGGTGGCAGTTGGTCACGGCCTTTACTGTGACTAACTGTGGGTTTGTGGTACGTTCGGCGGTTTACGGGGTTTGCGGATCGGAATTGAAGGTTTGCCGAAGTGTATTCTACTTGTCTTTGTGCTATGTGTGGTGTGCTACTCTGATGAGTACTCAATGATGAGTTGTGTCTGACTCTGCATAGACCTTCTGAGGCGCGTGTGAACCTCCCTGGAGTCATTGACTAGGAGTGTGTGAGGACGTTTTCTGGATGTGGTGTTACTATCGTTACTACCATGACTGCGGACGTTGACTCGTTAAGCCCGTTCGGCGTATGTCTTTGAACATGGCGGGAGGTCATCGCCGAGATAACAACCGGCCCGCGGGATGGAAGGCGTCATCCATCACCAGATCGGGGTCGTCGTGACTATCGTACCCGTGACAGCAGTCGTGAGAGGCAGGACCCGGCGAGGAGTAGTAGCCGGGAAGATCGCAGGGAGGATGATGCACGTCGTGGACCGCAGACCTGCTACGGCTGCAGAGTGGTTGGACATTACCGTACGGAGTGCTGGAGGTACTGGACTGATCCAGTTCCCCGACGTCGGATGGAAGCGGATGGGTACGTATGTCCTACCGAATTCAATTCGAGGACTGGTGCTCCATCACCGCCTAGGGACCGAGCGCAACCACCACAGGTGGTGGAAGCGACAGCACAGAATCGCTTGGAGGAACTCGGACGTACGGTGGCTTCCGTGCAAGAGTTCGTTGAGATGGAACGCGCTCGAAGAGCTGAGAGAGAGCAACTGCGCCGTGAGCGCGACGAAGGAAGGCTGGCCGAGGAGGCGGCCCGTGCGGCTGAAGTGGAGCGTGCGGTACGTAAAGCTGAAAAGCTCCGCAAGCGTGAGGAGGAGCAGTTAGCGATGGCTAAAGCAGTGGAAGTACAGCTTTCCGTGCGTTTGGGTGACATCCGGGAGGAGATAAAGACTGAGGTTCGTAAGGCATTATCTAGCTCCTTGGCTAAACAACAAGTGACGGAGGCGGTGATTGCTAAAGGCAAGGAGAAAGTTGTAGCGATCGAGGATCTTCCATCGACTTCCGGAACATCGAGCGAAGTGGAGGTCATCACGGAGGGCACTGGTAATCTCTCGCTTCAGGAGAAGGGTAAACGTGGCGAAGATGTGCCTGTGACCACTCCGGCGAAGCGTACCAGTAAGCGATCAGGCATTCGACCGGTGCGCCTATCGGAGCGCCTACAACGTACTCGGACTAAGATCTCGGTCCGTCGACCAGCAAGATGCGGAGCCACTAAAGCGCTCACCGCTATGAAACCACCTGCGAGAGACACTATGATGGAACGAATGCTGTTCCTCGATAGTACTCGGAGGGAGCTCTCCAAGATGGACTATGATACTCTGCATGCGATCTGTCGAGAGGAGGGGGTGAATTATGCTACGAAGGTACAAGCGATATTCGATGTCGCGGATCGGCGCGTGCAGGTACGTTTTGGGGAAGCATTACCAGATTTCAGTAGTGGCGAGAACGTGGAGGATGATGTGGGACATTCGGGGAATGATGAAACCGATTGCGGCGGTCAACCCTGATCTGGGTTAACAACAACGCAATGGGTGTTGATCTCGGATGTTATCGAGTGCTTTCGGTAGGATTTTGACGAGACCGTGGATGGGATTTTTTGCCTATTGACTTTGTTGTTAGCTTTGCGCGAACGCCTTCGCTGGCTTTCGAAGTGTGTTGACTCATGGCTTAAATTGTTCCGGTGCTTCGGTTTGGATTTTCTTAAGCAGCCGGGGTGCGTGTATGTGGTAACCTCTACTAGGTGTAAGTCGCAGTATGTTGGGCAGACATCGCGGTTACCAGTTGTGAGGTGGAAGGAACATTTGTCTGTTTGTAGGAGGAGTGCCAAGAAGTTGCACCTGTATAGATGGTGGAAGTGTTTTGGTCACGAATCATATTGCTTGTTGCCTGTGGAAATTGTGGAGATTGATGATTTGGTTACCGTCGAGTCTGTTTATATTCGACAATGGAGCCCGTTTCTGAATACTGCAGGAGTTACTCTGCAGTCATCTAAGAATTGTCGGAGAGGTAAGAAGGAACATACAAGACAGACGAGAAAGGCTGGTGGGGAGCAAGATAACAAACGTTCCATTAACCCGATCCGTGTGCGGGTTAATAGAGATGACGTGTGGTCAGTAGGGGTCTATAAGATCCTGTGCAAACAATATGATGAAGGGAACCACTCATTTAGCTTGCTGGTTGAGGGGGGAAGTACTTGGTGTGACCGTTGGAATGGGATTCGGAAAGCATTTGGTAATTCCATCGTGATGTATGACGGGGAGACTGGCTGTCTTAGACAATTCAAAAGGGCGTTTGCAACAGATGGGTTGATTGTATTTCGATATTTGAAACGCTGGACTGCACGCAAAAGTGTTAACAAACCGCTGCTGATATCAATCTTACGAAATCCGCAACGTCTTAACATACTTCGAAGATGGGATTTGAACTCGTTGTCGAGTCTGTTTAATACCGTGAAGGGATTTGAAAAGTCAAGCACTCGCGCATATTTGAGAAGGCTAATTGACCGAATTGTCAAAGATGAATTTGGCTTTAATTTTTGTGCTCGTATCATTGTTCGCTTGGTCTTTGATGATCGGATCAAGCTGGCGGCTGTTAGGAAGCTGATGAACGATAAGTTGAGCGAGTTGTCGCTCCCACCTTGCGTGATCAGACGTGCACGACGATCACTACGCATCATTTGGACTCGTAATCCAAGGGTTGCGGAGTTGATCCACAACCATCGGGTGTTTGCTCGAGCGGATGTGTTACCCTGCGTTTGCACAGGGTTGCCGTACCCAAGGGTACGAGGCCACGTGCGAGTACAATTGCGTGAGGTCGAGAACATCTCTCCTCTGGTGATGAATGCAAATAACGTTGCTAAGGCTAGTCACTGTGATAGGACTCGGAAATTGGGCCAGGAGATTTCAGCGAGTTTCGCTAACTGGGTTAATGGGAAAGGGTCTATTGTCACGTGCACCGCAGCTGAATTGCATCGCTGTATGATTAAGACAGAGATATGTGGGAATCGCTGTTTCCTGGATTTGAGCTTGGTCATGGAGGTCAAAGAAAGGTTCAGAGGGTTAGTCCTTACTCCATTGGACAGGAATCCAGGGGAGACCCTGGTGCTTTGTCCGTTTCTCTATTACGAAGGCATGATGTCTTTGTTCGTTCACAATGTTGGTTACGTGCCGACGTTGAAATCGGAGAAGACAGTGTTGTCTGATATGGAATCATCACTGAAACTGAGTGGGATTGGGAAATTTGCCCGATGGGACAAGAAGGGGTCCATTGGCCAGGCCTTTGCTATGCCCAAGCATAAGGACCTGGATCGGTTCCGACCCATCTGTCCTTCGTATTCAGAACCGACCACTTGGACAAGTAAGGTTGTTGCCAGAGCCCTCAATCATATGCTTGATTGGCTCCCTTAGGATTGACATTTCAACTTGAAAGCTGTCTCTCTCTTGAGAAAACGGGTGGAAGCGATTAACAAGAAGGTGAGTTCAAACACGGAGACATGTTTAGCCTCTTGCCTCATGAGGAGATCTTGGATGGGGTTGACTGGCTCGTGGATTTCCATATGAGTAAAGGGAGGAAATTTGTCCGTGTTAACCCTAGGGGAAAGGGCTCTAGCTTTGGGGTTACAACTGGTTACGATCATTGGAAAAAAATGGAGCTCGTGGAGATCCGAGAATTTGTTCGGTTTGAACTCTCACACACTTATACCTATGCTCTAGGTATTCTACTCCAACAAAAGATCGGCATTCCAATGGGGAAGAGTACCTCCCCGCCCCTGGCGTGTATTATGTGCGCCCGTGCTGAATATAAGTTCCTCTGTAGCCTGGGTCAGCAGGACAGCGCAGTGTTTGGAATTCGCCTTATTGATGATGTAAGTCTATTTGTTGCAACAGGGCAGCTGAAGACGAGTAATGCGAATGAGATATTCGAGAGATTCGGGAAATGCTATCCTGAGAATCTCACATTAAAGAGAACGGATAATGGATCTGGAGTTTGGGAGTTCTTGGGGTGTATTGTCAGGACCAATGATCGGCCTCCTTTGGTCGAATGTGTGCAGGTATCCAAGAACGAGGAGATAATGTGGAAGGATGAACAACTTACCTTCTGTAACGGCCAATCTTACTTTTCGTGGGGGAGTAAGACCCAAAAAAGTGTCGTCCTGGCAAGTTACCTGCATCGTATTGATCAGAACACGTCAGCTAGGCATGAAATCCCTCGTAGAGTTGTTTCATTGAAACGAGAATCGAGGTTGAAGGATTTCCCAACAGAATTTTTCTGACGAGTATTGAAAACGCTTTGCACATAGAAGGGATGCTTATTGGAAGTTGGCCGTTGACATGGTAAGTGGATGACAAGGGGACAATGTATTCGTTACTCACGGTTTCGATGGAGTAACAGGGTTGCTTGTACTTTGGGTACTTTCTGGTAGCATCCGGTTCAGTCACCGGTTCGGATTTCGGTTAACCGGACAGTGGTCGTAAGACCCCTCGAGCCCGGGCCTGGTTATGATTTGGTTTTGGCTCATGATTTTTTCGTATTTGTTGTGTTCTTGTTCGTTTTTGAGGCCCTCTGGAGCCCAGGCCTTCACTCGGTTTTGGTTGTTGACTTTGATTTTGACTACAATAGTGACTAGGTGGTACCTGGGTACGAAACCGTGTTAGAGTCTTTTGCGCGACCCTCATAGATAGACCAGTAGTTCGCGAAGCTTCTGATACTTCGAACTCTGGTTCAAGGATGAGCTGAGTCGTAGTGTTGGATTGGTCTTTCTTTTTCTTTTTCTGTTTTTTAGTTTCTTACGCTTTCTGTTTTGTCGTAGTAGCACGATTTCTGTGCCATCCTGGTAGGACCAAGAGTAGTGATGCACCCAACAGGTACTTAAGCAATGTGTAGTACTGTAGCAATCCTCTTTCGGTGGCAGTTGGTCACGACCTTTACCGTGACTAACTGTGGGTTTGTGGTATGTTCGGCGGTTTACGGGGTTTGCGGATCGGAATTGAAGGTTTGCCGAAGTGTATTCTACTTGTATTTGTGCTACGTGTGGTGTGCTACTCTGATGAGTTGTGTCTGACTCTGCATAGACCCCCTCGCACAGCTGTTGTTGTTCAAGGCCTCTATCCTGGTGGTGGTAAGCTGTTGTTGCACCATCTTGCTAGTGTTGTTGTTCTTGTCCTTTGGTTAATAAACCACCAGTACTTGGCCCAGCTATCGGCTGCGGGAAACAAAAGTAGAGTAGAAACATTTATAGTCGGATGAATTTGGCCCCTCCTGTACTGACCTGTACATTTACTAAAATTCTTTTCTTGCTTGTCAAAGGGAACACCTTTAGGAAGTACTGGTGGTTTAATGCTTAGTTCTTGGTTTCTAAGGTCCTCCTTTTTCTTAGACATAGTACCTCTTGTCATAATCAGTTATCCCCCGCCTCCCACCCCCCAAGGTGAGGAGAACTCCTGTTTCTACTCTATCTGGTGGTTTGTTTACTCATGATTTGTCATCTGATGTTGATTGGCAACCAAGATTCCTTTTTTTTATTTTATTATTCCTCCCCTCCTTCCGAGGTAGATGTCTTCTACGCCTGGTGACGATACTCTTTTTTTTTTTTTTTTTTTTTTTTTTTTTGACTACAACCCGGACGGATGCTAGGAGTGCTCATATCAGCAGACACCTCTAGCACTACCGGGGAGGCGCCATCTATTGGTGGGGAGCAGCACCTGCTGGAAAACGGGTCCGGCGTCCGTTAGATACAACTTTAAAGTACAATGATTGTTTGGGCATTTGGCCATTTGAGTACTTACTCTGGAGCATCCTCCTATCCCTTTGGGTTCTGGTGACAATACGCTGCCACCCACGACCCACGGTATGACGGGTTGTTATCAGCAGCTCATTGCTGTACCAGTGAGATATGTGTGTTTACCATGGAGGCATAGGGGAAATCCAGGTCCGTCCTTTCCTTTGCTCCCACAGTACTGAACCCAGCCCACAGACTACCACACCCAACCCCAAATGGCATATAGCAGCAAAGCGCTGTCAGCCCCACCACAGATGGCACCTGGCTCACAGGCTACACATAGCACAACCTTTTACACCAACCCCACAAAAGGCTACACATAGCACAACCTTTTACACCAACCCGACAAACCATCACCCACTAGACATGGCACGTGACCCACAAAGTACTGCCCACTGGACATACCACCCCCCCAGAGAGTACCACCCATGGTGCATCATTATAGCTCCGATAGACACTAACCAGTCAGCATAGTAGCAGCTGCTGCTCGTAGTACCAACCAGGTCACATGAGGATTTCTTTTCGCCATTTTCCTTGATGGCATATATATAGGCGCGCATTAGCGCTGAGCGGAGGGCGGGCAGCGAGGCGATGGCGGTGTGCGGGCAGCGCTATGCTGAACGCTGGTGGGGGCGGAGTTGGCTGGTTGAGGGAGGCGGGGCGCGGGCACCTCATGGCTGCGGGGCGCTGGCTTTCTGCAAGCAGCGAGTCGCGCTGCAATGGAGCAGCGAGGCGCTGGCTGCTAGTGGGAAGCGAAGCGTTGGCCGCATGTGAGGGGAGGGGCGCTGGCCACTTACAACTGGCAAGGCGCTGGCTCAGCAAGTGTATAGCAATAGTGTCTGACACGTGGCATACCGCAAGTTGTTGGCGTGAGGGAGGCGCTGGTGCGCGGGCTCTGTGGTGAGGTGGATTGGAGAGATGACAGCGCTTTACATACGCGCGGAATCCGGAGGCGCTTGGCCAGTGCCATGTCACAGGTTGACGTGGCATCTGGCCTGAGGCACAAAGAAGAAAGGAGAACAGTGGCGGTGGCTGCTATTCGAACATTTTCCCGGTGTCTTCTACATTAAGTACTCCATAGCTAATGCCCTTAAGAGGCTGGAGAACTCTTGCGAGTTGGCGAATGTCGATGTCGGTGGACGAAAGTGGAGTCAGCCCCAAGGAGACTGAAGTGTGGAGATCACTGGCCTTTTTTAAAGCTTCAACACAGAGCGGGAGGATATCGTCAAGCTGGAGGATCATCATCAAAATTATCTGTGTTCTTTTTTTTGCTCTTGTTTGTATTTCGTGCAGGCTTT